GCTCTCTTTTAAAATGTGTTATTATTAAGATAAATACAGAGAGAGAGAGAGCGTGTGGAGAAAAGAGAGAACAAACCAACCGGAATCACCAGGTATTCTGCCACACATTATAGCAATGTTTGTGTAAGTACCTTCAAAAAGCCTGTTATTTTTCATTGGAGACTCTTACCTTCTTTCTGAGCATTTTGCTAGAGCATTTTGGCTATTTGGCTGTGTGTACAGTGAGGCAGTGACACTCTGTCAAAAATACAGTGAAAGACATTTCCAGAGTCTCCTAAGCGAGTCACAAACTGAGACTTTTTATGTAAGCTGTCATTCTCTCCGCGGTGTGTCTGCTGTGCTAAGCACAGGGATGCAAAAGACAGCAGCTGTTGCTCCAACACTTCTCTGCTTCACACGCACACGGGCACACTCTTACATGTTCATAATGGCTAAACGCTTCTAATTTTAAATTTAATTGAATGACAGAGAACAGGAAGGGAGTCAACTCAGCTGCAGAGGATTTGACTATGGATGTAGTCACACACGCTTGTCTGCACAAACAAATGCATGCACACCAACAAACACACGGATGCTGCTCTTTTAATGACTCTATTGGGACTAAAAGCAGAAAGCCTCCAGTTACCAGCTGGCAGCTCGAAAACATAAAGCCATCTGCTACCAAATATACTTTTCCCCACCAGTATAACAAAAATCACACATGAATATCTATTAATTAACATAAACACCTATAACAATGTGTCAGCATATGAATAAAAAGCTGAAAGGTTCCATATAACCATCAAAAAAAAATTAATTAGTGTTGTAGTATAGTGTAGCCTGTCTTTCCAGGACATTTTTCCAATTTTCATTGGGACTAGCAATGGAAAGCGTCTTTGACAATCAAAAGTTAAAGTTTGTTAACAAGGCACCCAGGACACACAGACAAATACACAGACGGCGCACAGGCCTCTGCAGATTCGGACAGACATCACAGTGGGAGTGTGTGTGGGCTGCTTTGTGGTCTGTTCATCAGACTACTCCTTAGATTCTGCTATGTGCTCGTTATAAGATCCCCCATACTGGCCACTGGCAAACTGATGACTCTCTCGTTCTCTCTCCCACACACACAAACACACACAATTCTAATTCTCTGAATATTGGATCGAAATCAGGCACAATGCCCTGCTGTGCTACAGTTTAGCAGCACTGATTAAGCTGATCAGCACACAGATGAGCAAAACATCAAAAGCATCGTGACAAGTGACGCGGCATCCTTACATGGTGAATGCATACCTTGACACTAGGGGTCTAACAACTAAAAATCAAGTCAGGAATCTTGGTGTGATTCTGGAGACAGACCTTAGTTTCAGTAGTCATGTCAAAGCAGTAATTAAATCAGCATACTGTCATCTAAAAAACATTGCAAGAATTAGATGTTTTGTTTCCAGTCAAGACTTGGAGAAACTTGTTCATGCCTTTATCACCAGCAGGGTGGACTATTGTAATGGTCTCCTCACCGGCCTTCCCAAGAAGACCATTAGACAGCTGCAGCTCATCCAGAACGCTGCTGCCAGAATTCTGACTAGAACCAGAAAATCTGAGCATATCACACCAGTCCTCAGGTCCTTACACTGGCTTCCAGTTATATTTAGGATTGATTTTAAAGTACTTTTACTCGTTTATAAATCACTCAATGGCCTAGGACCTAAATACATAGCAGATATGTTCACTGATTATAAACCTAACAGACCACTCAGATCATTAGGATCGAGTCAGTTAGAAATACCAAGGGTTCACACAAAACAAGGGGAGTCCGCTTTTAGTTATCATGCCACCCGCAGTTGGAATCAGCTTCCAGAAGAGATCAGATGTGCTAAAACAAGTCACATTTAAATGCATACTCAAAACTCATCTGTTTAGCTGTGCATTTATTGAATGAGCATAGTGCAACTGATTGCACTGTATTTTATGTATAATCATTTTCTATTCCTAACTGTTTTAAATTCATTTGAAACCTTTTAAATCAATTTTTAAATCATTTTCAAAGTTTTTAAATTCCTTGTTTTATTGTTGTGATTATTATTTTTTATTTTCTTTTATGTAAAGCACTTTGAATTACCATTGTGTATGAAATGTGCTATATAAATAAACTTGCCTTGCCTTGCCTTACATCAGTTATAGGCTTGAGAACACATTTTTGTTTACAAATTTAGTTTAAAGAACTAGTGGAATATTCTAGTTGTTTCTGATTGGCAGATAGTATAAGAGAGATGGTGAGGTGGGTGATTAATTACACACACCGGCCCACAACTCACACAGTTATCAGCATTATCCTCTCTAGTAGGTGAAAACAAATTTGTCTAAGTCATTGTCTGACAACTTCCAGTGGCATTAGGTGGTATTCATTATTGATAAGTGCAAAGGTCAGCATTGCTTTTCTCCCAAGGTGCTGAAAGATACAATAAACTCCACTGATATGGCAATTTGAGTCAACTCCCTTGAGAAATTAAAGCACATGAATTAACCAAATCTGAACTCTTGGCATGCCAAGTCACAGCGGATCCCCAAATCTACAAGAATCAACCTGGGGAAAGAAAAGATTTCTCACACAATGAAGTGTGGAGATTTAATTCAATCAAAGGTGATGGTTTCAGAAGATATGACCGGTTGAAATCCTTGTTGTAGTGATCTACCATTAAAATAATGAATAAAAAAAATCTCATTACTGTCAGTCCTTATGTGCATATTTTCATAATCTGAGGTCTTTGTATGTTCCCTCAAAGCAATTAGGTGTATGCTGACAGTAGAGGGCGCCATTTGGGATCAGAATCTGCTTTGATGTCCCATGAGAGGCTGTACATGATGTTATAACTATCTGCTCAAGTCTTCTGCACAGTAATGATATAACTATACTGAAATGTAAATGCAACTAAAATATACTACGACTAAAGAGATGTCACAGGTGATGCAACTGTTGGTGACCAGTAGTGGGATGCTCAGGGCTTTGTTTAGAGCTACAAGCCAATCCTGCTGCTTCAGCTGTTAAAGCTGTGTTCTCTCTCCCTGTTGAGATCCCACAGAGAACTGGCTGTGTCTCCAGGCATTTCAATCTTTTCTCAGAGTGTTTGTGTGTGAGTGTAACCGGGTGAAACAGCAGCATAGCGACACACTTTCTACTGTGAAACTGGGTTAACACCCTGCCAGAGACAAAGAGAGAGAGAGAGAGAGAGAGAGAGAGAGTGAGGGAGAGGAAGAATGAGAAAACCCGACACACCGAGAGAGACTTCAGACTTTACCAGTTCACACAGTGAGAATCATGGTCACAGAATCAAAGAGCCGCCGTCATGCACAGCAGTGAGATGTGATTGAGTCGGTCTGAGATAACGGAAATGAAAGATTTGTATTCTTTTAAAATGCTCTCTGAGTAAACTGTGACTGACACTCATTCTTTTAGTTTCCTTCTCCCATGTTCAGTGCCCCAAAATGTCCATGTTTTCTGTTTTAATGTCAGTTTGGAGAGAGGAGTCTGTGCAAGTATCTGAGGGGGCATGTGTGTCTGCTCTGTGGTTATATCCACTCTGCTTCTTATGAGCTTTAAAGGCAAATTTGAGAACTGAATCCAATGCACAGAGTATTTAGATAAAATATAAATGTGCATTCTGTGCTGCATATGGGATTATTTGATGGTTCATTGAAAGAGAGGCATTACTGATACATGTCGCTGAGGTTTACTTTTCCCCCTTTCTCATCTATTTCATCTATTTAAAACCAGAACAGAACAGTTGGAACAGACAGAAAGTCATTGCATGTTCAAATATACATTATATGTATATATTGATTGACTGGGAAAGAGAGAGAGAGAGAGAGAGAGAGAGAGAGAGAGAGATTTAAGGATTTTTTTCACAATTTGATTGTGCATCAAACTTCACAAAGGAAATACAAAGGATATATTGTGGTGGGGGAATGGTATTGGGCTGTTACTACTATGCATTAATCATAAAGCACAAGCTACAGAAAGAGACCACAGAGGCTTGAGAATCAGGTCCTGATAGATCAGTTAACAGAGTGGCAGAGATAGAGTGGAGAGAAACCAATGATGAATTGGCCGGAAATTCCTTTCTGCCTAAAACCTACACTAATCTACATGTAAACACTAATCTCACCTAAATGTCAATCATCCCTTGTCAAATCCTTCCTCACCCAATGCATCAGGACATCCTGCAAAAATCACCACAGAATCACTGAACAGTCACACACACACACACACACACACACACAAAACACTCTTATAAACCATGTTTAAGTTGTTTGATGTTTATATTCCCATTTCCCCCACAAAAGCATATCATAGTTTTGTTTGTTTGTTTGTTTGGAGCAAATTAGAGCCAAAACTGTTTAAGTTACTAGCCTTGGTTTATTGGTTCATTTAACTCTATCTAGAATTAACAAAAGCATTATGGCATGAATGCAATCACAGACCTATCCATGTTTCTTCAAACCGCCCCACTTCAAAATCTTATTCTATTTTACCATGTAATGTATAATTTAAGTTCAATATTTCAAATTGAACTGAAATAATTTGATTACATGTATGCTTCTTAAGATTTTTTTGGACTACATTTTTTGTTGTTGTTGTTCCCAGTCTTTACTTTGAGGTATATAGTGAATAGGATAAACAGGGTTAGCCATTCTGCTGGTGTTTATAAGTACCATTTATTCTTATTTCATATGCTTTTCCAGTTCACACTGACATGGTGTAAATGGATCTACAAAAGCATATAGCCTACTTAGACAATAACAGAAACCCTGAACATATTCATCGTGGAAAACATTACCGGACAATTGGGTTTTTGTTGGAATAACACCACTACAGTCACAAATGTGTTACTTTGGACATGGTCTCAGTATGTACTCACACAATGGACACATTGGTCGTAAATTTCTGTTGTGATAAGAAACCCTTTCTTTTCTAACTCTTTCTTGTCATATTAAACTTGACGCCTTCACTCGCAACTTACCGTTGAAGTTCCAGGGCGCGAGTCCCTCTGCTCCAGTGCTGTTAGTTACATTCATGTTGCATGATTTTAAAAATGCTCAGCCAGCCAGAAGAAAAAAAAGAAAAAGAATCCACCCTTCCTCCTTCACTCCGTCAAGTTTTTCCTCAAGATTATTAGAAGGGCTGTCCTCATGTTGTTTTTCACATCATGCGCTCTTGACGCGCGCGGCTCTCGCCATCGGAGAGAAGCTCATTAAGTCTCCATCGCGACTGGCGGCTCACCTAAACACACCTCGAGCGAATGGTTTTCTCTAGATCGAGTCGGTTTACAATCCGCCAGATGTGGCTCCCATCTGCGCGAGCGGCTCTGATCTCTTTCCAGGAGTTTAGCGCGCGGCTGAGGCAGCGGACTTTCAATGATGTCATCCTCCGGCTCCAGCCAATCACCTGAGAGTCCGCAGGTTCGACTGAATCAACCTATAGCTCCTGTCCTGTGAACCCAGCGCTGTCTGTTCCCGCAAACTCTAAAACAGATAAATGCATTTACTGCAATAACCACCTTAGAGACTGTCAGACCTCATTACAGGACATGGCTAACCATAGGCGGAGGGCGTACCATCTACCAAGGTGTGAATTATGGCGGTTTGTCAAAACAGAAGATTCAAAACAAAAGGTTAAGGGGTCTTAAAGTATGTTTGAGGTCAACTGTGGTTTCTAACGTTTCAGTAAAGACAAAATGTAGATTAAAAGTGCGCATTTACTCAACTGGCAGTAAGCATCGCGTTCGCCTGCTGAGGTAAAGCAAGAGGATCGAGGACGCTCGAGAATAATTAGGATCACACTGGCAAAACACAAATGGACCTAAATATTTACACTTCACTTACAAGCAAGTAAGTAGTGATTTGGAAAAGACAATTTGTGTGGCTCCTCAACAGATTGCGCCCTGAAAATAGCCAAATGAAATTCCTTTAAAACGTCGAACCAATGACAGTTATTGCATAGGTCTGTATACTTCGCTCACTGGGTAAAACTATCAAGCCTAGGGGTTGGAAGAGTGTTTTTTGTCCCCCTCCAAAATATAGAGTTAAACTATTTTGAAAACGTTTACAACCCAGATCTTCTTATTATTCCAGTTCTTTAAAAAAGACGCCCAAAAAAACATAGTAGCCTACAGTTTAAAACTTTCAGTCCATTAAAACCGATCATTTTTTAACTTGTTTAAATAAAACCAACTACTACTAATTTAAAAAGAAACTTTTAACATACTTGGATGAGCTTTGATTTTACCATATGTTGTAGACAGAAATTACATTTTTTTTACGCATGCACAAAACAAACTACGTAAAATAAAAAGTTGTTGTAGGTTGCCACTGATCTAACGTCGTTTTTCCCTTCTCACTTGTAATTAAGATCTGGATTTGGGGAGGGGAACCTGATCCTAGACCCGTTATCCCGGAGCAGCAGCTGGAGTCCCATAGCATCTGTGGTCATATACACAAATTATGCACGCGTTCAGGGGAAGGCTAAGATTTCCCCAGCCGTACAGACGCTCCGCCCATGTGGCTTGTGTCTGTACATCGGTATAATTGATTATGATGAGTGTGGCTCTCAACATTTGCCAGGCTCTTGAGCGCAGCACACAAGTTCAGCACCATCGCTCATGGACAGCGCCCTACAACTCGAGCTTTCAGGTCTATTCCAGAAATATCACGTTATAAGTTAGAAATAAAAACAGGCGTTGTACTTTTTATAGTGTCATGTTTTTCCAAAACAACAGCAAAGATTTTGCTGTTTCTCTCCAGAGATTTTTGAAACAGCTGAATGGTTGCTGTCTGTCGTTAGTGCGTGAACTGGCACCAGAGCAATGAATGACAACCGCACGCGTTTAGACCCGCCAGAGGCTGTGTGTTCTCTGATAGTGTGTATAGTCGAAAGGCATAACGTTTTAAAGTATACGAGTATTTTGTAACTTGTGTAAGGTTTATGGATGACAATTCACCAACAAACATAGCCCTTTCTCGACCTCAACAGCCCCTCTCGGCAGATTCAGATGGTTTGCACACAGATTCGCGGATTAATCTGGCAGCTGTCTCACAGCAGACAAAAATTAGATTGATGCCAGCCAAAACAGAGAGATCGCGAACAGAAAATGATTTCAATGGCAGCACAGAGCAGAAACCTCACAGCCACTAACAACCCGGAACGAAATCATCTAAATCAGCCGCAGACGGAACGTTCTTTCAGTCAGAACGCGCTCCGCCGCAGATGAGCAGCGCTGTTAATTAAAGTACACAAGCGTAAAATGTGGAATAAAGAAAGCACGTTCTGTAACTAAGTTTACAAATATGTAGTCAATCAGTTCGCCTTGTCTTATTCATTTTGCTGCTACCAAATTACTATTTGTCATTTGCATGTGCCGTTTATGCAATAAGACATAGGCTAAATGTCGCCCATCATTTAGGAGAGACAGCTCTTTAAGTTGATGTTCTAATGATGAGCCTCACGAATTATTTATTTATTTACTTTTAGACTGTAGCAATTGAATGAGGCCAGGTAAATGCCTGTCACAATCGACAGCCATGCAACAACAAAAACAAAGAAAGGTATTTGGACATTTGAAGGGAACATTCACCCCAAAATATAAGTTCTGCTCTGATATTCAAACATTTGTAAATGAGGCTCAAGATACTATTTTGGGAAACTCTGGTTAATTTGCATTTGTTAGTCATTATTCTGTTCTATAAAATTCTAAGATTTTTTTTTTTAGACAATTGGAATTTGGAAATTGAAATGGCAAAAGTTAAAAAATTTTCTTATCACAAACATTTAGTGTATTTGTGCATATGTAGCCTAATATGAACGCACACAGTAGGCCAACCAGTTGCTTTAGCTCTTATACGGGAAGTGATGCAATTAGGTTATGTGATGTGCCAAAAGGAGAGACAGTAAAGTAATAGATGTGGCTGTGTTTAGACTTTCATCATCATTGTGCAAAGGCCTTGAGATCCTTCTGGACCAGGCATGATGGGAATAAATTATTTTAATAGTGCATAATATTCAAGCAGATAAAGAGAAAATGAAAGAGAGAGAGAGAGAGAAAGCTTTTCAGAACACTGATCTTGTTTAATCTCAGGTGCATGAGCAGCCTTTGACCTACAGGTTAATTTGGCGAGTCATTACCAAAAGCTTATCTGCAAGGCCCTCCTCACAGATTTATTAAGCATTGCTTCCTATAGTGGCTTCACCTGGCTATGTCACGTTTATAGGACGCAATTATAATAGTATATTTTTTCATTTGATTCAAACATCAGAGGATGTGTGGGTGTGAGGAGGTGTGTGTGTGTTCCTCTCAAAGGCAGAGACATTCTGCTAAGAGTAAAGAGGGAATTCTGTTACATTCACAGAACAAAAGTACATCTTTCACAGCACAGCTTCACTAAACTCCCAGCAGCTCTTCCCACAGAGCGGCCAATCTGTTTCCATTAGCTGAGCAGGTAAAGGGAATAATTAAAGCAGATAAAAACATGATGTGCTAAGTGACTTGGATGATTAGTCTGTTATTAAGATAATGTGTGTTTCGAGGCACCAGTAATCCGCAGGGAGAAAGAATTCGCCACAATGACATCAAACAGCATCACAGAAAGAACATTAACAGTGGAGTGCTGCTGTAACTTTACCCACTCACCGCCTATGTCCTCTCTTCAGTAAAATGAGGAAAATACACACAGAGAGAACAGCTAGTTTTAACACAACAAATGACATAAATCCATATTCACTAGTACAAGTATTTTGCTATTAGCTAAAATCACAACCTAATTTTGAAACTGCATTTAACCCTTTAGCATTCCTGTAAAATTAGCCTAAAACGCCTAGAAAAGGCATACCCAAAGTAAATTGCATGTGGTTCTTGAACCATTTTGAGCATATGCATGATTTTGGTCTCTTTTGAAAGGTGACAATCCCCACCTTTCTCCAAACGGAACAAACCTAAAAATCACTGTAAGCCTTACTGGTATTGAGTAACAGAACTTTGAACACACTGAAAAAGAAAAAAAGAAAAAACATCCTGCCTACTTTTTTTTGTATACAGATGCCTGCAGATGATTATTGCTGGGAGCTATTAGTTGGAAAACACAATGGAATCACAGGATGAAGCCTTGTTGACGGTCTGACAAAGACACTGATTGTATCTTAAAATGGGCATCATTCGAATGACAAGAATCTCAGCTTTCCAAAGATACGTGACATGTTTCGCTTTTTTTTTTTTTTTGCTGTATGTCACGAAGTTAACCCTCAAAAACACACAGTGCACCCCGAGCAGTACAGTGGAACGCTAACAGGTTAATATATTTTCATTTAGGATGGATTAATTTAAGCATCTTTTGGGAATCAGTCCCTCTGCAGTTATAGTCTCTAAATTTGTCTGAAAATTAAAATATTACACTGCCATCCCTCTTAAAACTAGCACACTGTATTGTATTTTGTTAAGTTGGGTTTTGCTTATTTGGTTGCTTATTTGTGCAGCACATCACAGATCACCACACAACATCATCAATAATTACTTTATTAAAGAGGCAAATTACCCACTATGAAAAAAAGGTAACCTCAAACTAACCCTTGAACTCAAAGGTAACCCTTTGAACTATCCACCCCTGAAAGAAGCATATTAGTTACCTTAAAGAGATCATCATTCAAACTTGTCCCAAACTTGTAATGATTTATTTTGTCTGCAAAAGACAAAAAATAAGATACTTCGAAGAATGTTGGGGTACAAAAAAAAGTCATGCATGTCTGGAACAATATGAGGGTCAGTAAATGATGACAGAATTATACGTTTTTGGTGAATTATCCCTTTAAGGATGCATATTAGGTACTTTTTGTTTTCTAATATGCAGCTTTTAATAAGTGAAATACTAATAAGTAAACAGGGGATTATCAATAAGAAAATTAGCAAATAAGACAATGAGAACACAGAGGCATTTTATTTCTGTAAGAGTTTAAAGTATTTTGTTGGGGCTGTGTTTACTTGTTTATAGGTTTTTATGTAATGTGCTTGCTTAAGGCTGTAAGTGACTGTTGCAGGTAGGAGGAAGAGATATAACATTTTCTTTCATTCTCCAAAAAGAAGCAGAGTTGAACTATTGCACAAGGCCACAAAAAGACACAGCATGAGGGTACAGCATGGGTAAATACAACAGGACACCATTAGTGACTTTGAGGAGAACGTTTTGGAGAACAGGAATAACAGAGCACACCTGTGTCTCTGGAAAGTCAAAGAGCAGGAGTGCAGGGACTATAAAGATTTGTGTACATTTCTGTTGCATCAGAAATATTTATACTGTTGGCAGCAACAG